ATAATGCGCGTATGTTTGGCAAACCATAACAAACCATTCGAATTGGAATCTATTTTTATACGCAAAACACTTTTTTTCTACATCAGAAATTGAAAAATAAAAACTTACTGATAGATTTTCTGATCGCGACTAGTCACCAAATCTTTTGTTACAGTTCTTGTCCCTCACTTAGTACAACCTAACAATAACTCATAATAATGGACTATTTTGAGCTTGTGGAATAATGCCGACAAAATATTTATTGCTGATAATATTTTTTTCTTCAAAAATCTATTTCTGGTAATATTTTTTTTTTAAAAAGTGGGGGAATCACTGATAATATTTTTTTTAAATGTATAGCTGGTAAATTTCTTTTTCAAAAATGTATAGCTGGTATTTTTTTTTTCAAAAGTGTATTGCTGGTCATATTTTTTTTAAATGTATTACTGATAATAAGTTTTTCTTCAAAACTTTATTGCTGTTAATAATTTTTACAAAGTATTTTTGGTATTAAAACCTATTTTTACACTTTCCTAGTGATTTAATCCCAGTTTGGGGTTAAAATTTACCCATAGCTGGGACCCTTACAGGTGCTACAACCAGGGTGGACCTGGGAACACCAGCAATTAAGAGGTGGCTCCACGCTTCTCAAAGCCTCCTGATCAGAATCCTTGCTGTTTGACGTAGTTTATCGTCTTACCGAAAAATTGTCTAGCACTGACGTCGTGAACCAACTTTCCTAGCAGTAGAACTAGCAATGGATTCAATATAATCTTTTCACTTTATGTCAGCTGAGAATGTTAGCGCAAGAAGACGCCACGAGTCACTTTTATGGAGGTTAGCATCAGCCATTATAATGGGAAGAAGGAAGGAGTCTTTCAGGTGAGAAAAAGTTTCGTTTTAGAGGCGTTAAAATTAAGACATTCCTTATGCCATTTAACAACATACTGCAGAACACTTTTTAGATCAACGCCCAATTTGACCTTATCGAACTGATCAGACTTACTATCGAGACAGGAGTAAATAGCTGTGTCATCATTATTGATATCAAGTTGATTACCATAGCGAAGAGCTCACCTAAACAATTACCATGAGAGTATTTATTGAAAAGGTGGTGGGAAAGTGACTGAGGCCGAGCTGCCAGGTCAGATGCTTATACATATGTAAGATTCTGGAGAGAAAAATGTCTAACACGACACACTGAACCAACTTTCCTAGCAGTAGACCTAGCAATGAATTCAATATAATCTTTCTACTTTATATCAACCGAGAATGGTAGTCCGAGAAGGTGTAACGAGTCAATCTGCTGGAGATTAGCATCTGCCATGCTGATGGAATATAGAAAGGGCTCTCTCACATGATTAATAGAGAGAAGTGTCGTTCTGGAGGCATCAAAATTAACATGCCATTCCTTTCCCAGTTTACAACAGACTGCAGATTACTTTTTTAGATCTGCTGCCAGATTGTCCTTAAGCTCAAATGCGTGGAAGATTGCTCACTGAGGGGAAAGCTCACTTCATTTGGAGAGTTTTAAAAACTGGCTTGTTATCCAAACTTTACAGTGAAACTGCTTTATTAAACGCGTTTTCAGAGTTGATGATTAAAGCTACCTTAGATGAGGCCATTCTTCTTCACATCTTGTGAACTGACGCTACAGAATCACAAAGAACTTTACAAAATAACAGAAACCTCATCACTTAAAGAATTTCAACAGCAACAACTACTAAAATGGATAGCGTATGTAACTCGGAGAGAAAATAATGTCACAATCGAGATTTTGACTTTCAACACAAACAAAAGGAAGGAAGCCGCTGTCAGCACTAAAAGGAAGGATAACAATTAGTGGACTTGTGAAAACTATTTTTCTCTAAAAACTATTTTGCGGGAAAGATTTTGTAAATTTCAACCGACAGTAATGTTAACTGCTCGATTATTGAATGGCGAAAATGGCTAATCTCGCTATTAATATTAACAAGCGAAGTGAAGATGCACTTCAGTGCAAATGATCTCAGAAATTAACTTAACTGATCTCAGAAATTAGCACAACGGAAAAGCATGATTGGTATTTTTTGGGTTTTTTTTCATGTAGTTGTGGATCTAATCTTGATGGCCACACTAGATTTTTAAATAATCATATTTCATCGAAAATACCGGGCAGATGTTTATGTAATTAGGCACATAAACGAATTCCTGCGGGAAGAGGTAAGAATAAAGAAGGGGAATTTAAGTTACGGCCACATCACATTGAAACACAGGTTCTCGTACGATTACCGAAATTAGGCAACGTTGATCATGGTCAGTCCATAGATGAGTAACCGTTTGGGAATACCAGATTAGCAAAATTAAGCAACGTCGATACTGGTCAGTACCTAGATCAGTAAACGTTTGGGAATACCAGATTACCGAAGTGAAGCAACGTCGATCCTGGTCAGTACATAGATGAGTAACCGTTTGGGAATACCAGATTACCAAAGTTAAGCAACGTCGATCATGGTCAGTCCATAGATGAGTAACCGTTTGGGAATACCAGATTTCCAAAGTTAACCAACGTCGATCCTGGTCAGTACCTAGATCAGTAAACGTTTGGGAATACCAGATTACCAAAGTTAAGCAACGTCGATCCTGGTCAGTACCTAGATCAGTAACCATTTGGGAATACCAGATTACCGAAGTTAAGCAACGTCGATCCTGGTCAGTACCTAGATGGGTAACCGTTTTGGAATACCAGGTTCTTGTTTGCATATGCTGTCTCTTTTTGATTAATTTCTCAACACAACAGAACATCCAAAAAAGGCGATTCTATCCTCCTCATTTCCGGCTTTTTATGCTGCCTGATTACCCACAATTCATATTGCCTCCTTCCGTTAATATTTAATGTGACATTGTAGAATTCCATTAGGCAAATTGTCTTCTACTTGTCTTCAATAATCTTTTGATTTGTTACGTTGTGTAATGAAGTATATCAACTCATTAATGTTTTTTGTGCGGAAACTTCCGTCATAGAATATTAGAGTCAGCTGTCATCTCAGGTGGATGAGAGCTTACGGTCACGTCAGGCTGAAACACCGTTTCCCGTACGATGGCAGAAGATAAAACAACGTCGAGCCTGGTCAGTACCTATATAGGTAACCTCTTGAGAATACTAGGTTATGTAATCAGGATTTGAAACCCGGAAGGAAATGAATATACAACAGAAATCAAAGAATATAACTAATTTAAATGCCGCCCAATAAGGCGGCTTTTAAGCTAGGTTACGCGGAGGGCAATTAATTGGGCTTTCGGCTTACTTCATGAAGTTTTAGAGTCCCTAAATCTTTGTATATTCTCAGCATTGGAACTTCTCCTGTCTGCCGTTTGATCTGGGTTTTCATTTGTACGGGACTTTCTTTTCCTCGCTGCAGCCTTGGCTCTTTTGATTGTACTCTGGTTTTTTGTTGGTGAAGATTTCTTGTTTTCGAGGCGTACTTCTACCGTATGCGATAGGCAACAATAAACTACAGACGAACTCAGAATTTATATTTAAGCGTACCTTTTAAAAGTTCAACAATAATTCTTCTGTCGCCACTTAACTTAAAGACAATTTGATGTATGTAGATCCTTACTTTCCGTACACAAAATTATTCTTATATCATCGGTGACTTTCGCAGTCATTTTCAATTATTCCCAAATTTATTTCCAAGTTATAAAAATTGTTATCGTACAAAAATTTCCTCACAAAAATCACGTAAAAAATCACCGAAAACAATCGCAGAAATGAAAACTTGGGAATCGAAAATTTCAGAATTGGGGGTCTGGATCTGGTCTGGAATATTCTTTAATCTGCTCACGGAGTCGGCCTGATTCCAAAATGGTACGATATGTTGGACTACAGCCTCTAGGAGTAAAGTTGAAAAGGTGTGACACACTGACATTCGTATTTATTTATATAGATAATCATAATAATCTTTTTTCTCTCCTTTTAATTACCGTGTTCCTTCATGGCGTGGGTGATCATAAATCTCTGCAACTTTCTATCTTTGTAGCTCAAAGTAATGTTTTATCCCTTACTATACCACCCACACCCTTGCTAAGTATGTTACTCACTGTTTACCTTTGCGCGCTTAATATCTCCTGCGGATGTCAAATTTTCCAAACTTTCTTTCCTCTTTATACATCATAGAAATGTCAACAGGTTCTTTCTAGACAAGTGTCTTTTTTTTTCTCTCAATTTCATTAAAACTTTCTCGTTGCTCATATGTTACGTTACGTCTCAGTATCTTTATTTCTATTGCTTCAATTCACGTCTTTATCTATGAGAGTATTTGTCCAGTATTCACTGCCACTTGGTATGACGAATTTTTCCCATTTCTTAATAATTTGTCTAACATTTGGAAGGTATCTTTCGCAATTCCAATGCACATTCGGATTTCTGTGTCATATGTTATAAGACAGATAAGACAGTTTATTCCAGAAATTCAAACAGAAATCTTTCATTTTATCCTAAAATACTGCCCTACCTCTTCATTCTTGTCGTTTGTTTAAAAATAGAAGTACCTACTCTATATCCTGACATACAAGACGGATGGGCGTAAAAGACGACTGGCCAATTTTTAATGTTAAAATGTAGGTTTCAGGTTATCTTCCCCGTACAAGACGGCGCCGTCAATATTAAAATATATTGTATATTAAAATGTATTGAATTTATTAAATAAATTCAAATCGGGAAGGTGAGGAAGTACCATGTGGGGAGAAATCTTTTGCTTTTCAATAAGAATAATAAAAGGGAAAGCAGATATCGAAAAAGATTTTTTTATTGATTGATCCGTTCTTTACGATTTATCAACCTACTGCAAGTTATTTAAAACCAGAAAATATTTTAGATAATTTAATTAGCCCATAGCTGGGGGAGAATAGATGGATTCATACATTTCTCAAGAGTATTTGCGTGTAAGTGAATATAACGAACCCTAGTGCAATTCGAACTCTGTTCTCCCATTAACAATTCTGAGCCATTATCCATTACACCAGACACACATCAAAGTTTACAGCACCTGATATTCCCAAGGAGTCACCCATCTCGATACTGGGCAGGCTCGACGTTGCTTAACTTTGGTGATCGTATGGCTGTTTCTTCGTGATGTAGTCGTAAGCCGTGTCTAAAATAAGTTCTTTTTCACGTCTGAAAATGAATATTGTTCTCTGAGGCATATATATCGTTTCAAGGGAAGACAGGAGCAGTAATTTTTTTTTTTTTTAGCGTTCCCTATTGGTCGAAAACTATTCACATGATTCGCTTTGCCTGAAACAAAACATTCGCTATTTGCCTTCAAACGACAATACTCAATAAACAAACTTCCTTTATTGACGTTTATTTATCGCCATTTTGGCAAACCATAACAAACCATTCGAATTGGAATCTATTTTTATTCGCAAAACACTTCTTTTCTACATCAGAAATTGAAAAATAAAAACTTACTGATAGATTTTCTGATCGCGACTAGTCACCAAATCTTTTGTTACAGTTCTTGTCCCTCACTTAGTACGATCTAACAATAACTCATAATAATGGACTATTTTGAGCTTGTGGAATACGGTAAAGACATATCAAGGACGCGACTTGGTTTCAAGGGAAGAAAGAAAGAAAGAAGTGTTGAATACCTCACAAAGAATGCCAGTATCTCATAAATAATTTTGATCGCATGAATTGATAGAAAACATATATCAAGGACGCTACTTGGTGTCAGTGAGAAAATAAATGAAACAAAGAAGAGAATAAAAAAAGAGGCGATAACACTCTCATGTGTTTAACGTCTGTTTCAATGAAATGAAAAGTTGTCAATTTAAAATTGTTTCATTTATACCCTCTTACTTCATAAAATAATGACCAACATTCATATTTATGATTGTTATTGCAATATTTTGTTAGATTTGATAAGTTCAAATTTTTAATGATGCGATAACGGAATTTCTACGGATATTTTATTGTCGTATAATTCGCCATGAGCTTATTCAATCAGTAAATTAACAATTAAAATTCATCAGAAAATTCAAATAGGAAAACTGAAATTTCCACAGCCATGTTATGTTTCTATAATTTTTCCCGCTGTCAACAACTTGCCTAATATGAGAATGCTTTTTTTACGCACTTTATTACAAATATGCTTTGCGTATCTAAGTTTGAAGTAACCGGGTATTTCTGGAGACAAAATAGTTTTCTGTTGCCGGTTCCAAGAATATTCATAGACATCTCATGTTTAATGCGGAAATAGAAGTTTCTTTTTTTAAAAAAAAAATCTTCATGGAGGCAAACCTATAATAAATTAAAGTAACAGAATATATTAACAGACGATAAAGAACATAAAATTTTATTTATTTACATCTCCATTTATGTTTTCTGTTTCCTTTTGCTAAAAAAAAAATAGCAGAAATGTTGATGACAAGGTAGTAGTCGAAGTCGTTGTTGTTGTTGTTGTTGTTGTAGTATTAAAAGGAGGAGAAGAGTGTGAAGGAGGAGGGGGAGTTCAGAAAAGTCTACAGAAACACCGTGAGGAAATGTTACATCCGGGTGTCTCGGTGGCTGCCATTAATATATATCATGCAGAACTAAATATGTAAACAACTACGAGATAGCTAGCTCGCTGGATAGATAGATAGATAGATAGATAGATAGATAGATAGATAGATAGATAGATAGATATGTACAGCAGAACACTGACAGGGAGATGCGCACATATTGAGATAGATAGACAGACAGATAGATAGATAGCTACCTTGATAGATATGCATTTGTATGTATATATATATATATATATATACATACAGACAGATAGATATGCATTTGTATGTATATATATATATATATACATACAGACAGATAGATAGATAGCTACCTTGATAGATATGCATTTGTATATATATATATATATATATATATATATATATATATGTATGTATGTATATATATATATATGCAAGCAAAGATATATTTGAGTGAGCATGTATATGTACATATATGTACAATTATATAAAAGGGTCTAATATGTGCATATATTTTGTGTGTATGTATATACATGTATATGCAAGTACAGTAGATAGATAGATAGATAGATAGATAGATAGATAGATAGATAGATAGATAGATAGATATGTACAGTAACACACTGAGAGGGAGATGCGCACATATTGAGATAGATAGATAGACAGACAGATAGATAGATAGCTACCTTGATAGATATGCATTTGTATGTGTATATATATAAAAAAAAACGTGTGGCTGGTCCTGCACAAGGCCTTCACCACTATAAACAAATCTCATGTGCCGGTGTCGGGATGTTGGTTTCCTGGGGACTTATCGGCCTGACCTCATACGTCGAACGCGACGGGAGAGTCGATTATATATATATATATATATATATATATATATATATATATATATGCAAAAAGATATATTTGAGTGATCATGTATATGTGTACATATATGTACAATTATATAAAATAGGGTCTAATATGTGCATATATTTTGTGTGTATGTATATACATATATATGCAAGTACAGTATATATATATATATATATATAGAGAGAGAGAGATAGAGAGAGAGAGAGATAGAGAGAGATTCCCGTTTCCTAGTAATAACGATCAAGGGAAAATGTATTTCGTTTTCTTTCATTTTATTTTTCATTATTATTATTATTATTATATTCATTGATTTTATTTTCCTACTTTCTTTTCAAATATTCGGCTTCATAAATAGAAACTAGTACTTCCCAGTTATTACTCGACCTGTTTCCATTGAATCCAAGTAGATGCTTCCAGATCCTGAGATAGAACTCACAAAAAATTCCCGAATCAATGCTTAAATCCACTAGGCTTTTATACCCGTGGGACAATCCTGAGTGTAGAACTTTAAATCTACAATCCTGAGTGTAGTTTTAAATCCATCTTGTTATTGTGGTAATATCAACAAACATGTAGATTATTCCTCATTCCAGAAATTCAAACAGAAATCTTTCATTTTATCCTAAAATACTGCCCTACCTCTTCATTCTTGTCGTTTGTTTAAAAATAGAAGTACCTACTCTATATTCTGACATACAAGGCGGATGGGCGTATAAGACGACTGCCAAATTTTAAAGTAAATGTAGGTTTCAGGTTATCTTCCCCGTACAAGACGGCGCCGCCAATATTAAAATATATTGTATATTAAAATGTATTGAATTTATTAAATAAATTCCGTCACCCTATATTTTCTTTTCTCTCAAATTCAAATTCTAATGAAAAAACGGTGGAGAGATATTGTCAATTCACTGCCACAATCTGTCTCATGAGTGGGTGCTGTGTTTTTGGTAGCCTTTTTACGGTAGACTGAATAACATTTTCCCGCTAACAATCCACTCGTTCCACTGTTCACGAATGAGATCTTTAAACGGACTATTGAGACACACATCCAATTGAGTTTTATGTTCAACATCATCGAAAAAAGAGATATTATCAATTAACTACCACAATCTACACCTACCGTTACCCCTATCATAATCAACCTAGTACACTTACCGTTACCCGGTAATGATAACACGATCAGCTGCCGTAAGCGTAAACATTGGTGACGCCACTTTAATAACATAGCGGTAAAAAAAAAAAGGTTAATATTTGGCTGCCGAACAAATTAACTCTACTTTTCTTTTTTCAACCTATTTTTTACCAACCTATTTTATTTTTACCAACCCATTTTACTTTTTACCAACCCATTTTATTTTTAACAAACCATTTTAATTTTAATCAACCCATTTCATTTTTAACAACCTATTTTACTTATAACAATCTATTTTATGTCTAGTAAAAAATTAACAGGTTTAACTGCATTTTTCACATCTACAACCTGTTAATAAAAACAAATGTATTTGTTTAAAAGAAAACATAAAAGAAATACTTTATTTTAGTCGTTTTGCAAATTAAAATATATTTATTTGCATTTTTATTTACAATTATTAATCAATTTAAAAATGAATTAATTTCTAGAAACCTTAAATTTTAACAACCGTATGCTATATTGATTTTCCAAGCGTAGTTTAGATGTGGCAAAAGGCCGAAAATTGTGGAACTGACTATTCAGCCATTGTTCTAGCAAGACAAGCTTGCTAACTGTTACACCGCTTTAAGGTTCATATTTGATACCTGAAATATAAGATGATCCCATATTATAAAAGGGGATTTTTAAGGTTAAAAATTCGCCTTGTACACCGACAATTACGGCACTCATTATATGTAAAAGGTACATTTATGACGTCACTTAACAGTGAGTATGCGTTACGTTACCCTGGCAACTATGGTTTCTGAATTTGAAAATGATAGACACAAAATTCCAGACGTCAATGATTGTAATCTTAGTGAATATATTTTACGTAAGCAGTAGAATTTTTTCAGTTTACTTCTTTCTTCCTTTTTTTTTTTTTTGCTCTGTGATTTAAATTTTATATTTATATTTTCTTTTGAAACAATATTTAGCTTTCATTTTTTTTTTCTAATTTTTCTCTTTAAAAATTCGAGCCGATTTTTTCGTGTAAACACGTTTCTAGGAAATGCTGTAGTTTTTTTTATATTTGTCTTCAATTTTAATCGATTATACAGCTTTGTCCTGCACCCTCAAGATGGTATTCAGGAGATTCTACAGGAACGATAATTTGCAAGACACCGACAGACACCGCAGTGGGTGCAGAAACCATATTCGTGGCGGGGAGAAGCGTCAATTTGACGGATCTACCTATTCTCACATGTCCTGGTTATGTAGGCTGATTCGATGACGATGATTCCATAGTACCAAGAACGACAAGCCTGCAGTGACAGATACAACTATACACAAGTTTTTTTTTCCGGATATTCTCTATATCTTTCATGGAAACCATATGTTGCATGAACTGGAGGCCATCTCACCGAAGAAATCTTAACAAAGAAAATGCGCCCGAATGCGCAAGCCGGTAGACATAATACACAGTTTAAAATAAAAAAAAATGAAATAGATAGATGATAGATAGATAGATAGATAGATAGATAGATAGATAATGTACATACTGAGATAGAAAGATAGATATAAATTGAAATAGATATTGAGATAGATACATTGATAT